TGTCAGGCAAAAATGGCAAATGAATGGAAGAAATTTCCGGTGTAGAATTAATATATAAAAAGATCCTTTTTATGAATGGCTATCAGTATATATGTATAAACTTCTACATTCACGCATAACAAACATAGAATGTACTGTAAATAATTAGCTGGGGTTGTAAAAAGTAATGGAATAGAAATTATACCCATTCTTGTGATTCTGAGTAAGAAATGTCTTGATATATTCATTAAATATTTTTGAAAAATCAAAAAATTATAAGTGTGCATTTCACGTAAATAGCCATCGATTTCTAAATCAATAGAGGTAGTGAAGAAAAAAGTGAGAACATTTACAAGCTTCAAAAATTTTATCCAAAAAAATACTTTGTATAATGCATATTGTAAAATAATAAAACTTTATTATTGCCTATTTAAAATTATATAAAAGTTATAACTTTTAAAAAGTGTTATATAAGAATGCAAATGAAGAAATGAAGCCGAGGTAAATAATCCATATATGTTAGAATTTTGTTAGCATCAATATTGTGTTAGATTTTTCGTAAATTAATCACTCATACAGAGCTTAAATTGCGCCGGAGCCCACCGGAATTTCTGGACAAAACGGCATTTTGCGCCGTTTCACTTTTTGCTTTGGTTCACGTTTCAAATTGCTGCCACCAAATATTATCGCCATGTATTATATTTAAAGAAACTTAATAATGAAGAATCTGTATTAATTCATGAAGGTTTCTAGAGTTATGAAAAAAAAAGTATACTAACAGAAATACACATTATATTATGAACTAAGTTTTCAATTCAGTGTCAGGCAAAAATGGCAAATGAATGGAAGAAATTTCCGGTGTAGAATTAATATATAAAAAGATCCTTTTTATGAATGGCTATCAGTATATCTGTATAAATTTCTACATTCACGCATAACAAACATAGAATGTACTGTAAATAATTAGCTGGGGTTGTAAAAAGTAATGGAATAGAAATTATACCCATTCTTGTGATTCTGAGTAAGAAATGACTTGACATCATGTTTGAAATATCGTAGTCCTCCAATTGAACATGGGCACTTTAAGGCCGGAATTTTGAATTTCGAGTTAGTTTTATTATCTATTTCAAATTTTGTAAAACTTTAACGCATTTTTGATTAACACACTCAGCGTTCAAAGCGAGCAATGGCAACACTATGAAAAAAAAAATTTTTTTTTCTCAAGTGCGCGAGACTGTATCGGAAATTCTGAAGATATGCTGTTTTGAAATATTTTGTGATATTGCCGTTCATTTGAATTTTATGTGATTTAAGTGCGAAGAACATGATATTTAATAAATAAAGTAACACACAAAACGTTAAAAAAACGCCCTTTTGGGTGTAACATAAAATCGGAAAGCTTTCAGATTTTCTCTTATTTATTTATTTTCTCTTTACACAAACCCCTGAATGTATCAACATATTGATGTTCGGCCAGACAAATAATTAGTATTCAGCTCCAGTATTTGACAAAAAATATTTTCAATGCATCTTTCTTTTTATTTTCTTTTACGAAGTAAAGGAAGTATTGCAATCGGGAAAAATTTCGAGTATCATATTTTAATGAAAACATCCATTTTCGTTGCTCTCGAATCTGTTTGAAAAATGTTTTTTGTGACATTTGTACGTACCGACATAACAAAGGATTCCTTTTTCTAAAATGGATTCACAAGAGATTTTTTCCATGACGTCTGTATGTATCTCGCATAACTGAAAAAGGAGTAGCCTCAGGAACGTTGAAATTTTGTATATGAGACTGCTATAATATATAGCTGTGTTAACATGTAGTGTGCTATAAACGATTAAGGTTTTTATGCCTTTTATTAATCTGCATGCAATAGTTATAGAATTATCAATAATTAAAACGTTGTTTATGTGCGACTAAGCCTAACTTAACAGCCATATCTGTTTACGTTTGAAGCTTATCAGAACAGTGAATTAAATCAATTTTTGCCCCTTCAGTGTCTTTTTGCCGAGTAGGACCAAAAGTAAACTTTCAGTTTTGTGCACCGAAAAATCTGCCTTCTATGCTGACCGAATTGCTTGTTTTTGCACAGAAACTGTAATTTTAATTGTAATAATTGTTTTTTTAAATTTGTTTAGCTGTATTTGGTGTTTTATGTTGTTCTAAGTCTTTCAATTTTTAATGAAGATATTTTGAGGTTTTATGTATTTTTGCCTTGTCGCGAAATGAGAAATGAGAAGTGAATTAAAATTAACTGAATGAGAAATCTATCTCTAATGAAATTCGAGAAAATGTGAAATGCAGCAAAAAATGTGTATAACAAGGAAGTCATGTGGTTTCCACATCAGATTTTTTATTTAGAATTATGAGGCACACTATTTCAAGAAATTATTTTAAATGGATTAATTCAAAATGTCAAGGAAATTGTATCAAGAGAGAAGAAACAATAGTTTTCACGAAAGAATATTTGCTCGAAAACGAATGTGTGGATTGGAAAATGAATTATTAGTCGAAATATCATATTTGAAAAGATATGTAAACTTTCAAAACTATGGAATAATGAAAAAACACTCACCGATAAGCATCGGATGCAAATTTTAAATTATTTTTGTGAATATATATTCATTTCACAAAAGCTATAGAATTTGCACTTTGTTTACCTTGTACTAATATAGCTACTGAAAGGGTGTTTTCTATTACAGTGGTGGCCAAAATTGTGGACACATTTGAAAATTTTTATGTTTTTGAACTTTCTATGCTTATAGAAAATGTTATGTTTTGCAAAATGCAAAATTGTTATATCATTTTAAAGAGAATTTATTACTGAATTCAATACAAAACACAAAATTCAATTATTTTCAATACAAAAAAAGTTATATATACTTTAATATAAATAAAAAACACAGTTATGAAGTGGTTTGTAATGTCTAGCTTTCCTGGCCAATCACTGTTCTTGTTCTGAGAATCAATCAAATGTTAGTAACTGCCAGTAGAAGCTGACATCATATTTACACTTGAAACAATTTATTATTTTGCTTTGTTCTGTAGAAGGAGGACCTGTTTCTTATACACTGCAATTACAAGTAAGAATTTTTGTAAAAATTTTTAATATTTAGTCAAGAAGCAATGACATCAAATAAAAGAGTAGATTGGACACCTAGAAAGAGATGTAATATTATTGTGTACAAGAAAGTGGTCTTTCCTATCCTGAAATTGCAAGACAGGTCGGTGGTTCAGTGACTACATCTGGAGTCCGAAAGTTTTGTTTACGATCGATATCAGGAGACAAATTCAATAATAAAAAAGAAGGAAAAGGCTGAAAAAGGTGCACCACATCTATTGATGACAGAAGAATAAAAAGACTGTGTCTACAAGATAGAAAAATGTCATCAGCGGCCATCAGAAGTGATCTGAATGATGCTGGTGTTTCTGTCAGTTCCAAGAACAATCAGGAGAAGATTAACAGATGTTGGACTGAGAGGTAGAATTCCACGAAAAAAGCCTTATCTTAATTTTCAGCAATGAAAAAAAGACTACAGAAGGCAAAGGAACACATTAATTGGACAGATGATCAGTGGTCACAAGTTATATGAAGTGATGAATGATGAAACTAAGATATCGTTATTCGGTAGTGATGGGCGAAAATATGTAAGACGTAGAACAGGAGAAGAGCTACATCCTGACTGCATTCAAGCTACTGTGAAGAAGCCAGTTAGTGTTATGATTTGATCATGCATGTCAGCAGATGGTATTGGTCGCCTTCATGTCATCGATGGGACACTGAATGCCAGAAAATTCATTGACACTATTCTAGAACCAAAACTTCTACCTTCCATCAGAGATCTCTTTTCCAACAATGCATCGTTTATTTTTCAGCAGGATTCTGCTCCTTGCCACACGGCCAAAATATCGAAAGAGTGGTTTCGTACAAAGAACATTAAATTGTTGTCATGGCCAGGAAACAGTCCTGACCTCAATCCTATCGAAAATTTGTGGCACCGTTTGAAAACTCTTGTTCGAATGAGGCGCCCATCAAATAAAAGGGAACTAATTGAGGCTATAATTGTTTCCTAGCATCATGTAATAACAAAAGAAGAGCTTAAAACTCTTGTCAGCTCAATGAAACGTCGATGGAAGCTGTAATCAAAAATAAAGTGTACCCTACTAAGTACTGATAACTCACTGCAATCATCACTATCTAATGTATATCGATAACTTTTTTGTATTGCAAATAATTGAATTTTGTGTTTTGTATTGAATTCAGTAATAAATTCTATTTAAAATGATATATACAAGTTTGCGTTTTGTGAAACGTAACGTTTTCTATAAGCATACAAAGTTCAAAAACATAAAAATTTCCAAAAGTGATCACAATTTTAGCCACCACTGTATAAATAATTTATGGACAGCAGAAAAATCGCAGTATCGGAGCACGTTGATACCATGAAGTGAACGGTTATAACTAAGCATAATACCTGAGTAGAGTTCAAAGAACAAATGGAAAATTGTGATGTTAAAAAAAGGTTCATTGCGTTTTAAAATACAACTATTCTTTTGTACGCATTATTTACACTTTGGATACATTCTTATGGTATTTGTATGTTTGGTTTTCATTTAATTAGTTTAAATATTTTTTTTTTTTGTTTGTTTGTTGATTAGCGGGGAGGCCAATGTCCCAGACTGGTCCATGGAAACAATGATCATCTTACTCAAACATCAACTGTAGCTTCTTTTTCGTTGATGTAAGACTGAAAATAGTAAGCATAGTTAATACTTTACAATGCAAAATCGCTAGCTTGACACAATGGAATTATGAAAAACCAATTACATTATTAACCGTTTGTATGCACAGATTGGTAAACTTTTGTTTCTTGCCAGTGCAGAATTCGCCAAGGTCACTACAAAGGACAAGTACCTTTATTATTGTTATATCATTAAACTGGCAACTTTTATCTATAATGATAAAGCTGAAAATCTATAATTATCTATAATAGTAATGTTAAAAAAATAAACAAACCACACTTGAAAGTTAAATTTATTGCAACTTTCAATAAATGCTCTCCTAAAACATAACAAAAATAAACTTTGCATTATTTGGAAGTTCTGCCTTCGTTTGGCACAACAGTTCTACAAATCCTTTACCTTAAAACATACAAAATGCAACACAAAATATTTCAATACTAAACAGACATATATTCTACTAATAAAGTTCAGACATATATAGACTTATAAACATTAAATAAAATATTATATTACAGTAGTATCAACAGTATTGCCTCATGAGATCGTTGTCTGTTGTCTCACTTTTTAATAGTGAATCACTATTAATTGAAAAATCTTTCAGCTCCAGTTCTCAAACTATAGTGATCTAAATTGTACATGACAAGAACAGAGTGCATGTGTATATATATATATATATATATTTGCAATTCAATATTTACTGACAGTTGATTCATTTCTAAATTAGTTCTAAATTCCATTTTGCGTTGACAATATCTACAATCTGCATTCTTGCATAAATAAACTACAGTGTCATCAACTTCATTATTACACTATAGAACAACTCAGATAGATTTCTCATTACAAAGAACATTTACATATCCCTAGAAATATTAAATTAAGTAAATGCATCAGCATATAAAGGTGTGGCTTTCAGGCCGAAAGAACCCCTAACTGTTACATTTTCTGGTGGAGCCCCTACCCAGTGGCGTACAGAAAGGGGCGGACAGCCCTGGGCTTCTGATCAGGAAGGGCCCTCCAAAGAACCTAAGGAATATTTACCTTTCTGCAGGAATATAAAAAAGGGACTTCGTATTCTGGGAAGATGATTATGTAGTGGCGTGACAATTACGCACATGGCAGCTCTGCATAAGTAACATTTGCGCTCATCATCCGTACAGTAACACGAAATTTTTCCAGTAGGTGTAACCAGTTATGGAGAATGCGTAACATTTTCACACAGCCTGTCAGAAGCGATCGATCAGCCTTGCTAATTTTCCTGCTTGTATGCATCATTTCTCCGAAACCATTGGTCAGAATTTATAAAAAAAAAAAATAAAAAAAAATAAAATTACCAGCTTAATAAACCCTAAGTGAGTTTAAAAGGACAACTATTGTGCCTCTCGCCATAAAATTTTAGAAATTATTAATTATGTTAAAAATATCTGATTTTAGAGTTACAGAAATAAATAAATACATAAATAAAATATTATTTTTTAAGAAATATAATTCTATTGTTTTTAATGTAGATCATTGTAATTGAGCATTATTCTTCTACTTTGAATAAAAAAATTAGATAAAAATGCTGATCTTGTTATATAATGCAGTGCATAATATACAAATTAAATAAACATATTAACAATATTATTATGTGGATGTATTTAAAATATTTTAATATTTGGGACATAAAAGAAAGGTAGCAAATACATTATTAATAAAGTAAAATAAGTATACAAATATAATAAGAGTACGAAATCAGTAAACAAAATTTCATGCTCATAAACCAGTCATAAAGATCTGAGCTTTAAAATGTGTTATATTTTGTGGATATTTTAAGGTGCTTGTCTCCATAAGGTATTTAGCAGTCTTTACACGTTAACACATATACAATTTAAACATTTTGTTAAAATCTATACTTGTGCAGTCTAGTAGCTTAAAATTTTGTAAAGCAAATTAATCACAAAGTCGCTGTTGCAAATTATCAAAAGATTCATCATTACGATATGGTTTTGTACGAAGCTGTCATTAGGGCCGCTAAACTGATTAGTAACTTCGAAAGCTGATTTCCAAATTTCAAGGAAACTTTTCATCAGATAGAACAAAATGAAATTAAACGGTTAAGACATTATCTTCAAATAGCATAAGTGGAAAGGATGAAGCTAAAAAGTGGTTTGCTCTGAAAATGTTAAAGTTTATTGTGGAAATGAACTTATATTTGGTATTAAAGACTTTTTTAACAGTGTACGTTTCAGTTGCTTTTTGCGAGAGCACCTTTCCAAAATTGATTAAAAATAACCTCTGATCAACAATGAACCAAGTAAGACTTATGGTTTGGAAGTCTTTTCCATTGAGCTAAAAGCCAGTTGCTAAAACCATCAATTTTGATAAAGCTATAAAAAATTTTCAGAAGTCTAAGCGTGCAAAAAACAGTTTTAACTTTTTTTTTTGATTGACAGAGCAGCATTTTTTTAAAACATAAAAAATGGCAGATTAATAAGCTTTTTTAAATATATGTTTGTCTGCTCGATGCATGTTGTTTTTGCTTTAAGTCTTTAAGATTTCTTGCTTTCCAAATCATTTTATCTGTTTAATTATAGTTAAATAAATTATATGTTTATGTTGACATACGTATGGTAATCATTTCAATAAGGAGGGCCCCAGGAAGATTTCTGCCCCGGGCCTTAATAGTTGTAGGTCCGCCACTGCCCCTACCATCCTTAGAAAAATAAATATTAAATAAGCACCGAAAATACATTAAAATTTAATACACTTTCTATGAAAATTGAAATGAAAATCATTTAGCATAATTTAGTTGTTAGCTAAAATGAAAATCATTCATTTTAGCTAACAACAATAGAAATAAAAAATATTATTTAACTTATCATTTTAGATTTGAGATCCAAGCAGTATCACAATTTTCTAAGTTTGGATTTGACCTGTGGAAGCCCTAGAGGAGGAGTTGTTAGGAAACTCAAAGTTCACAGCCTGAAGACCACAGTTGTACAGTAACATTTACATATTTGAGGATGTCGATTCCGATTTCACATCTACGAAAAGGTTAATCATTAACAATTTACTAAATAAATTATTTCCAATGTTTTACCAAAATAACACTACTAAAATCGTCCATGTTATAATAAGATGAAATATTAATTTCAGATTACAACAGAACTCTCATTCAGTGCCATCAAGGATTTTTAATCCAATAACCAAAATTTTATCTCGTCGTTAATTAAGCATTACTTTTATACAGGAACTGCAAAACAGAACACTTTTCGTTCGCTTGTCTGTCTGCGGTTTTGCAGGTGTTATAACTTTAATTTCCCTATCAATAATCTTATCTTCAATTAAGATGTAGGTATAAGTTTTTATTAAAAATATTCTATATAGGCATGCATACATCACTGAATTCACTTGAAAATATCCAAAGGGAAAATTTTAACAGCCCTCAAAAAGAAAATGAAGACCAACAGAAGTAATCTGAAAGTCAAGAAATGGGAGGTATTAAGCGCATATGAAGAAGATTATTTACGAAGATACTAAATTTTCTGTCATGATTTATGGAAAATTAGCTTTTACCGAAATTACTGTTGTAAAAACAATTTTATCTGAGTTACTCAAGCACTCGATAAAACGAAGGGAAACGCTACTTCTGATTCATTTTCCATAAATAATTATTAATGATCATTCTATGCACTGAATCCACAAAAATAAGTAATATTTTAGATTTTTGTAAAAGCAATCAACACAAAAATGTAAAAAAGAAAATACTTGAGAATTCTGCGAAACTCTGGAATTCTGCATTATATTAATAAATAATTTTTTGGGATTAAACTAACTGTATTTAAGAAAATTAATATACTTCGTTATATATATGTCTTTAAATTTTTGTTCTGTTCTTTTTTATTTTGTTAATTTAACGTGTAGGCTGAAAGAAAAGCATTGAAACCAGTTCTCTTACCCAGAATCAGGTAACTCTACTGGAACACTATTTTAAATATTAAAGAATTTGAAGACCCAGACCATGCACCTCACCTACTTTTGTGTAGGACCCTGAATTTGAGTCACAAATTATATTTTTCACAAAGTTTTATAAATGATTCAAGACTCACTTTAGTAATATAATGCAGTTGTCTTGTCTAGCAAGAAAGTTCTGTGCATAGTACAGACATGACCCCTTCAGCAAATGTCTTGGTTTGTGCTAGAGTAGTGATTGTGTAGCGCTATAGAAGAAAAGAATGATGTCGTCATTAAAAATCATTTTCTTTGATGTGTTAACTGGAGTGGAATATTGATGGAAACAGTGAATTGTGACCATGCGATATCACTCTGAATAGATTTTAAAAAACTCTCCGTAATCTTGAGTTTCTTAGAAATGTTATCGATAACATATTACACATTCTATACAATACATATACTAGATTTTTAAACATTCTATAGCATTTCTGAGGTGACATTCAAACATTTAACGAAAGATTACTACTGTATTCAAAATTAAGTACACTTGTATAATGTTCATAGCAGAAGAGATTTTTTTTTTTTTTAAGTTCAATTTTTTTATGGTTGAAACTAATTTATACAACTGTTTGTTATGCAAGTATTTCCATTTAGTTTTGTTAGTGTATAATGAAAACATATTTTGGTATCTATGTTCATAATCTAATAATGAATGTGTACTTTTTACTAAATTACATTAATTAAGATACAATTTAAAATATGCTACATAACTGAATTGAGTAATGAAGATTTCGCAACGAATTTTATAGATATGAAAATCACATGTGATTAATATTATGCGTTTAGAACTGCATCAAATACCTATAACATGAATAAGAAATCCGATATCCTGTTCTTATTAATAAACGGTATGACACATATTTCTTTGAAATATTTTTCTAATCACATTTCATATTCTCTATATTAAAGACCCCTTATTACGATAAATGAACATTTTGATGCACTGAGAATATAAAAACTCAATCACAGTTAAATGCTCAATAACTTTAGCACAATTAAATCCAATTATTGTACAGGAAAATTATAGTTTTGTGCATTAAAAACTAAACATTATATTTACTACAAGTTCTAAGAAAAACATTATTGAGAAGAAATTTTAGTTAAATTGTAAAATTCCTAGGAGGCAATAGTTACAAAAAATATTTAAAACCAACAATTAGTAAAATATTCTCAGCAAGCTGAAAGAAAGACATTTTAAATACAGTTACATGCTGCATAGAACACATGCTTTAAAAGCATGCACAAAAATTTCATGAATCTAAAAAAATGAAAAAGCTTTTTTACACTTAGCTTGTTTGTACAAATTTTTGCATAGATTAATATATACAGTATAATAAAAATATAAAATCAGTTACACAATATAATAGATATATCATATAAAAATACATATTTTACCGTTTTCTATGAACCGCTAAATAAAAAAGTACAGCTTATGAACAACACGCAGTGGTACCTCGGTATATGTCCACTAATAAATACATCCAATTTGGTATACGTCCTGTTTGGGTGTGGAAACTTTTGTTTGGAATAAGGCTTGAGTTCAATGAGCCATAACTGCAAGAACTACACTTATTTACCTTTTTTGAAACGATATTACGACTGCCCATGAACATAAGTATGCCTGTTTCTACTATTTAGTAAATAACCACACGATATTTCTGCATTTTCAAGACATTTTTGTGTTTTTTTTTCCCATATAATTTTCATAAATTCCTTAGTAATGAGTTTTAAGAAAGTTAATGAGCACAGTCAAGTAGCAAAGAAAATGGTTAAAATCACTATGAAGGTTAAAAAAAAAGATTGTTGAAAAATATGAAAATGGCATGTATATCTGGTACTTGGTTACTGCATATCGTATGCCGAGTACAATGGTGTTTACAACCGTAAAAAAACAACGAAGCAATTAAATTGGCTAACGTTGTGAAGGATGGTGAAATCGATCACCAACAAAAAATAGGATTCCTCAGAAAACACTGAAAAACTGATTTTAATTTGGACAATAGAAAACACTTATGTACAGTAACATGAGCAGTGCATCCAGAGCTGGATTAACAACTAAGCAAAATAAGCATGTGCTTGTGCACCACGGAAAGAAGCAATTACAAAAAAGGTCCTTAGGAACTCAAGGAAAGGGACACCACAAAAAATTTCCACTGCCAGTTTTATGATAGAATGTGCTGCAAAACCAAAATAGAGAAAGAATAAATGGGGGGAAAACAAGACTAAATATATGAGAGGATACCAAAATCTTTTAAGTGTTTATGGCCTCTAAAAGTCTTAATCCAAGATCTGAATGCTTCATTTATGTACAGTACACATTTCAAACACCATGTCTGCCTTTTAATACTAAACAGTATTATAACAATAACAAAAGGATTTTTATAATAATAATTTTCCTCCTTTTCCTTATCCAAAAAGTTTGTTTAATATATCTAGAACAGACCAGTGACATATACTGAGATACCAACAAAGGAAATAAACAGTTGATAACAATTTCAAATAGAAACAGATTTGAATTAGTATAGAAGTGTTTCTCCAAGCTAATGCATTGTAGAATGTTAATATTTCACACAGATAATAGAATGTTTTTATAATTTAAAAAGAAATGAACAAGCAAGGCATAATTTTACTCCACTATTTTTAAATGAAGAATTACCTGTGTTTTCCTTTTCATAATAAGTACAAAAGTTTCCTAAATATAAAAGAGACTGGAAGAATGTATAAAGAGTTAATTTTCTATAAAGCACATATTTTTTTTTTTAAATTAAAAAATACAAAAATGCAAATCTTTGCACATAATTTAAAACAATTTTGTGATTAGAAGTATATGTCCACAACCAGCAATTGCAAAAATAAAGGCCAGGTAACTGTTGTGGATACAGTGTATTTATCTATGCTTAATCCCACTTTGCATTAATTAATTTATATTTCCTTCAGCAATGAATTGTGTTTATGAATTAAGAACAAACAGAACATAATAAAAATTAAAAAGAAATTCATACAGAATTTAAACTAAATATTATAAAATACCTTAGTTTGAAACATAATGTAAGCTTGAATAATCATAAAAAAGATAGATTTTGTCCAATACCTAAAGTTAGAATTGCCTTTGTTGACTAAAGTACTGAAAACAATACAGCGATTATAAATGAATAAATTTTTGGAATACTGCGTTTTGAAATTGATATACTATTTTACTTTTAAGAATTAATTTCAAAATTATGCATTCTTATTCTTTGAAGTCTCAATAAAATAATGTTTTTCTAAAACTTTTTATGGAGGTTACATTAACATTAATTAAGATGCATTGTGCCCTTCATTAACTTGGGAAACACTGCAAAAGAATATATATAAGTATATAAGATAACTTTATAAGTACATTTTCAATTAAAGAACAATTTGCACTAAAACAGCAAAACTAATCAATATGTATAATATTGATTAAATTAGACATATGTACATATTAAAAAGTTGAAATAAAATAAAAATAACAACAATAACCAATAAGTTTTAATACACTGGAAAATAAATTTTAAATTTACTTTTCATTTTATATATACTAATTTGCATTTAATAAATTAAAGCAATTAAGGCATAAAATGTAAATAAAGTAATTAAGACATAAAATGTAGTAACTAGTCATCATTTCACATTAATCGTACAGTTTAATTATTGTTCCATTATATGCATTAAAGTTATAACATTGCAAATGCGAGAACAACAAATCCAAATACTTAAGCATCAGTATACAATTTATAATACAGGATAATTATGCAACATTTCAACAGCATTCTACGCAATTACTCATAAAAATATAGAAAACTATTAAATTAATTATAGGACTGTTCATTCAATTATCAGACAAAAATATATAAATACTTTGTAAAAAGTCAAAAATTACATAACTGTTTACATAATTATATATGTACATACATACTCATTAAGAAACACATTAATAAATATAAAAAGTTCTGAACAGTATAACAAACTGGCCATATTAGGATGCATTTGACTTAAATGTACACTACTGGTTACATGCATTTATATCTGTTAAGAAAGAATATTGTCCCATACAATGCCCCCTATCATAGAATTTAAAAGCTCTTCACTTCACTGATAAGATTAGAACACCCATAGTATGTCTGTAGTAACACCTACAGTATGTCTGTAGACTGGTAATCATGTTGTAAAACATATAAAGGTTTTTATTTAATTGTAGACCATAGATTAATTTTAACTTATTATAAACATCACCTATATTGTGTCATTAAGTATAATAAAGGTTTTTTTAATTAATTATTGTCCATAGATTAATTTTAATTTATTATTAACATCCTCTATGTTATCATCTATTTGTTAAATATAATAAAGCTTTTAATTAATTATTGACTATATATTAATTTATTATAAACATCATTTATACTCGCTTATTATTACAAAAGCACCCTGATTATGTCCAATACATGCCAAAACTCTAATTCATAATAATAATGAAAATTAACAAACATTAACATGTATTTTGAAAATTCCAGATAAAAGTTGGCTAAATTTTGGTGGAATATTTATTTAGTGATAATTATAAAGGTACTAAGCAAACAGTAACTATCAATTATCCATCCAAAAAGCTTTCCTACATATAATTTTTACAATATTGGCCTTGTCAACTGGCAGTAACCTCGAACCAATTTTTGTGTCTGACAAAAACCACAGGAGCGAAATCAGCCCAAGATGTTAAAATTTTACATAATGTGCATATATCAGACTGATAGTCAACATAATAAACTTAACTTTATGAAGATAAATTTTTAACTATTGGATACTAGTATTATTATGCTATGAAACTATAAGGGATATTAAAGGATTTTATGTATACTACAAAAAGGAAATAAATAATTATTTTAAACCCATTATTATTCAGAATAATTCTGAGTACAACTGTGTACTACAGCATAGCCATATGAATTTTGTGATAAAATTGATATATGCATATATATTTTTGACTAATAGACATTTAATCAAGTTTTCTGCTATGAATGCAAGAAAAATGAATGACATAGTAAAAAAATTAAATAAAAATAAAAATAAAAATAATCATAATAATAATTAATGCACACATATTTAATATTTGGTGACGTTGATTAAAACTATATAGGAATCAAAAGACTATAATGACAGCATGCATTAAAACTATGCAAGTACAGTGTGAAAGTAGGTTTAAAAAAAATATTTAATTCTCCCTCAGCACTTTTAAAATTAATATGCATCCATATGTAGAAGAAAACTGACCCTTTTAAGACAGAAAATTCAAATACTAAAAACGTTAACTCAATTACAAGCAAAGTCATGGTACTTTCCTTTAAGAAAATTTACCAAGAAAAATTCATAACAATATCAAGCTTAAATTTGATATTCCTTAGGGAAGGATTCAAATGCATCTAGTAACTTTTCTACCTGTATCTATTTTGATGATTCATCTTTCCTTTAGAATTAACAATTTTTCTGATGATTTTTAAAAATAATAGATTCATATCAGTTCCAGTGAAATTCTGTAGTCATTATAAATATCACTAAAATGAAACCTTAATTATTCGCCATTTCGAAAGCTTCATATCAAAATTTATTTACTTTAAAATGCAGATGGTATAATGCAGTTTAATATGTTAGAAATATTTTGATGCAACATGGAAATAAGAAAATATTTTAAATCTATTTTCTAATACACAAATTATTAACCAAAATTGATTTATTTTCTAAAATTTAGATCAAAAATTACATATGACTGTTAAGTTCACAATGACAAATATATATTAATTACTAATATACATTTCAGATGTACTAATGCAGATATGTTCTTAAAGATTTGTACTCTGGGGCTGGTTCTGACAAAGAAAAGGAAAATGAATAATTTCTTTTAAACTTCAGATTTTCAAAAGAGAACACACCACTACAGAAATATTAAGCAAATTATAAGAACTTAAAATTTTCTACTTTTTAATTTTATGTAAAATACAAAAGGATTAACGGTAGGATAAAGTTGTAAATACAATAACATTAAAAGACATTCATTCTGAAAATTTACACAAAATACTATAGTCTGGCATAAATTTGCTATAGAACCAAAACTTGCACGAGACGATGAAAATGGAAACGTATACAACTTTTGATATTGTAAAATCATAAAATAGATGTAAAAAAGCAGCATAACCGAGTTTAATTTTCATTAGAAAATGCTACTATGTGATATTCATCTACATCTACATTTAATTAATAATATTTGATTATCTAATTATAAATTCCAAAATTAACTCAAAATAATTTTTGATGAAATATATTTAGGGGAGTAAATATAATGCAAATTACAGATTCAATTAAATAAATGTATTTAAGAAGTACTAAAACACATTCAAACAAAATGGTAAATAAATTCCGAAAAGTTGCAAAAGTAATTTTAAAATAAAATCACTGAAAATATAACTTATCATCATAAAAATTTAATTTTTTAATATGATTTCAAAGAAAATACTTTTATTATAAATATTTATGTATAATTATAATTTTTTATTTAATTTAATTCTACATAATTACATTTCTAGCATAATGCATAGATTGATCCATAAAATAAACATTTAAATGTAATTTAAATTAAGAAATTTTCTTCAAATGGAAATTGGATTGTTACACGGTGACTGTGCAAAATAATAATCCCCCCTCCCCAAATTTTCTTAAGCTCTTCATATACAAAATTGCAACATGGGGAAAATGTCATTTCAATAGCTCTTAAAAAAATTATGTTTTACATTCATTGTTTACTATAAAAATGGATTCTATAAAAACATGAGATTCAAGTTGGGATTAATGTTAAATAACAGACATATAAACTTGTCAGGAAGTATAGCCCATGACTAAATAACCTTACAACAGTACTTTCACATAATTCAAAATTCCTATCAAACTGCAATTTGCAACATCATATATCTGTGTAAATAACTACAAAAGAATTGCTTCCTGAACAAACCATTCAAAATTGATATAAAAATGAAATATGCATTAGTATATCTAACAAATATTATGCTAATATATTTCTTCAAATATTGAAAAAAATATGTACACCTCAAATTCAAATAATCATTAACTAATATTGATATTATAATTCTATCAAACCTCAGCAGACACTCTCAAATATCACTCTGTCATTTAAGGATTGAGGAGGACGATAATTATGTTCCACCAGGCCAGAACTTTCAGAATTTACATCACAACGAGCATTTTTCATCTGCCTAAAACAATTCAGCTGAAAAAAAAAAAAAATCAAAACATGAATTTTAAATTTATGTACTAAATATTTATTTGTTCTTGAAAACTGGAAGGAAAAAGAAAGTACTTTTCCATCAAAGGGGCCTGTAACATAAATGTTAGTCAAAAATCCAGACAGTAATGGCAACCTCAAGGATATACAAGGAGTGGCCAACTTCAGCATATTATATGATCCAACTTTCTTCTTTGAAATATGTCATGATCTACCTACTAAAACCTTGACATTTAACACATTCAGTCTTTTGTCTTGCATATCAATAAGTTGCACCAGGCAAGACATTATTAAACAGACATGTTTTATTAATAATATTTATCATTTAGTAATCTCAGAAAAAATACAGATTAAATTATATTCATGTTTTATGTGATCTAGCACTTTCAGTTATTTATTTATTTAATGATGCCATTAAAATTGACTGTTGTTTTAATCATTTCTTTTTCCCATTATTTTGTCACACGTTTGAATTGGAATTTTTATTTTATGAAGCTATTATTTTTCAATTATGAAATGAGTAAAATTTATATTATTTGCATTATTGTGGTTCTCCATATGTATATAGCTGCTTGTTTTTGTTTAAAAAACACCAGAGAACTGCACAAACTCGGCATTGTACGCATTAAACTTTATACATATCACATATTTAGTGTTGTTCTTCCCATGTAAACAGCGGTCTATTTTCATTTAATAAAACATCACTGAATTACACACCTTAAACACTGCATTATGCATTATTGTTTTTGTCCTCATTTACATAGTGATCTATTTTTACTTTAAAAAACATCAGAGAATTGCACAAACTTGGAATCGTGCATAGTATTGACATTGTACACATATTATTACATATTATTATATTGTATGCATTATTGTTTTTCTCCCCATGTGCACAGTGATCTGTTTTTACTTTAAAAAAATCAATTACAAAAACTTGGTATCGCATACAGTCTTGACAATGTGCACATGAAACATTAGATAGACTATTACATCAAACATTAGATAGACTATGATGCATTACTGTTAATACAGTAGCATTAAGGTTGCCAAAATAAAATCATTATGAAACAATGCAAAAGTAAAGTTTTTACGACAAAATCATAATCTAACATGGAAACTGTCAAATTTCGCATGCTCTTTATTCTTCACTTTAGGCGATTTAAATTTCAGTAGTTCAATTATTAAATAACAATAGTTTCATAAAATAAAAAAAATTCAATAGCTTTCATATTCGATAATGTGTGCAATAAAATGATGTACATATTAAGTGTGTCAGTGATAAAATATTATTTTTCATATTAAATGTGTTGATGATAAAATGATGTCATATTAAATGTGTGCAATAAAATGGTATCTGATATGCATTGTGCAATAAAATGATGGCACAAAGAAATGATTGAAATGATCCTACCCAATTAGCATGATAATGTTGATGACGTTCAATTAACACGATAAAATTTTGTTTTGCATACATTAATGCTATTGACCATTGACTGTATTGTTTTTCCGTTGCGATTCTAAATTCCAGTCCCTAAATTTTAATGTAAGACCTGCAAGAAATGATAAGTCACAAAACCAAGTTTTATCATTTAAATCTGTACACTATTATACTTGCTTCTCGATTTTTACTCTATACGTATTTGTTTATAACTCATGAAATCACTGCGGAAATTTACATCTACTTAGCCACCTTACACCAGTATATAATAATAATTCTGCCTATTCTTCTGAATGTTGCATTTCTTTTGCATTTAATATTTTACTGACTAGTACCTGTAGATGAAATATGCAGTGGTGCATAAAAAAAACTTGGGAATTCGTCATCACTTTTGTATAGAGTTACAAATCCATTTATATGACCTTTTATTTTTCCTACTCCATTGTTGTTACTAAAATTAATTAAAAAAGTGGTAGTTTCAGATTAGTGAGGAAGCTTTTAAAACAATTGAATATATCTATACCTTTCCTTTCTTTCAATGATATCATACCCAACACAATTTTACTCTAGATGTATAATCTTTAAAAACCACACGAATAAAAATAATAAATTGTGTAGTGTCCCTTATATCTGTCTGCACGTTAAATTCATGCAAAAAACAATGGCTAAAAGGAATTGAAACAAAAACCTGTCAATTTTTGCAGTTTATTCTAAAATGTGTTTCCACAGAAAGTTCGAAATTTTGTAATACCACTTGCTATTTGTGAGAAGTGTCTTCTAAATAAAAGTCATTTAAGACACTTTTAAGAACTACATATATACAGAATGTATTTGCACTGTAGAGATATTAGGTTATATTGAAGGAGACATGAAAAATGAGCAATGTGACTCAAACCTGGACCTCTCGAATATGCACCGAGTTTATTACCATTACACCACGAAGGCATGCTGGAAGAAGAGAAAAAATACTTTATAAGCTCTTAGTTTTTTTTTTTTTTTTTTTTTACCTAATTTTATTTTTTCTAAGTTATTGTTTTGTGGATGATCTATGTTGTGCTTACATACTGAAATCATCTCCTGTCAGCCATGACCAACCGAAAATTGTTTGCGATCAACTTGGTGACTATTCTTTATATACAACTATATCAAAGAAAAAAAATGGCCTGCTTATTAAATATTTAGGAGCTGTAATAAATCTAGGATTTTGGTCAGGTGGGCTGAATTCATAATAATTTTGCATCATTGTTACGCCTTTAAATTTTCCTGGAGCGAACGAAGGCGTATCTAAATTTTGACACTGCTTCTGAGAAATTTACCTAGAAAGTTCATTTAGTAAGTGAACTGAAGTTCTTTAAAGTATTTAGTAAACATTTCTTATACATTTACAAAAATTCACCTTCCTTAGATGATGACATTCATTCTAATCCAGTTCTTCCTAATACTTTCAAAATTCTAATATTTTAGATTTCCACTTTTCATTACTATTATCAGCAATAGATGACACTAAGTTTCTTTTGTCATCGCTCTGCCCATTGCATTAGACATGATCCATTCAGGACACGCCTATTGTTGTCCATTCAGGACACGCCTAATGTATCAAAGTTGCTGTACATGGACTACCAGCTGATTCTGACTCCAAGGAAATTGAGATGGAAATTATTGCTACAAGATTTCAAATGATAAAAGTTACTCAGTTTATGAAGAAAATTCGAGACCCTGTGATAAAACTTCCTGCCTTTTTCATTTGGTGAAGAGCATCTACTCTCAAAAGATGGTTTTGGATATGTATATCAGAATTAGACATTATAGGACAAGTGCAAATGCTATGATTTGCTTTTGTTTCCAGAGGTTTGGCAATGGTCAGATCTGCAACAACTTGCCCAGATGCATGAAGCGTAGTCAGGGTCACTTGACCTATAAATGTACTTTCCATTAAGAAGAGAAGCCAACATGCATCCATTGTAAGCTGGATCACATGGATTCATCAAAGAAATGTGAATTTTACCTCAAAATTCCCATCAAGAAGAAAGATTAAAAACTCGCTTGGAGACCGAAGAGATCTGCTGACAATTATGTTCATAACATATCAGCACTTGAAGACAAATTCTTTTCAGTAGCACAATGTTCTCGACAACATAAACAGACCAAAAGTTTGGAAATGTCAGAGATTAATTTAAATATGGATGAAAGAATAAATAATTTCTTCAGCAAACTCATACAAATTGTTGAAAAATACAAGAGGATTAAAAAAATTGAGAAATCTTTTGCATATACTTAGTACCATAAATATGATTGCTAGAGCATAATTTTGAATTTCTATTTCCTTTGTAAGATGAATTCTCTATCGGACTTTTTTTGGACTTTCATTCCTAATATCTCCAATTTCTCACTGGGAAATTATCTGATGAACACTCTACATGAAGTGCTCTAGTACTATTATTTTACTGAGTTGGACATATGCTGCTATGGGTGATATTCACGGCAATACTTGAATAGACTAGACTGGTCTAGAATCACTTAATGTTAGGTGCTCCTCAAGCATGTACTTGCAAGAGCCAGAATACATAAGTAAAATATGCAATAACAGGGCCATATAAATGAAGTTGTACCCATTTTTGTAGTTTTCTTTTACTTTTTCCCAACTAACAGAGACCTATATCTGATCTAGAAAGCGAACGAATTTTATTCAAAATCTGTGTCAAGCTAAGGTTGTTTTTCTGTCTAATTTTATATGTTCCACTGTAATGTTTCTCCTCTAATTTAATAAACCAGATTTTATTTTAAACAATTTAAATTTTTATGGAGCAAGAATTATAATATTCAAATTACCTGCTCTGCTGATACAGTTATCGGATTCTTGAAAATTATCCATGTCACACTTTCATAACATGGAGGAGTTGTTAAAGAACCACTATATGTCCAGTACGAATGCTCTGCTGTGAGAAGAAGGAAATAAGCAAAGATTTAGAAATTAATGAAAGAACACATACGTTTAACTTTATTATATGTATCAGTGGTCTCAAATCCAAATTGCAAATGAGCCAAGTGCTCAATTTGAAAACAGCTGACAGACCAGAATTTTTTTTTTTTTTTTTTTTTTTTTTAATTAAACGAAAATCTTAAATTTTACTTGCTAAAATTTATTAAAACACATGTATACAATAATATTAATAAAGCAAAAGAAAAAAAATTCAAATTTATATTTTATCTGAAATCTTAAGGTTGGCATGTGCAAGAAATTTCTCTTGGTTAACTTTGTAATTCAAATACACTGACAGCCAAATGTTAAATTTTCAGATTGACATTTATTTCAAAATATTTTAATATGTTACTTCATAATTAAATAACCTAATTTAAATTATACTAAAAGTAAATTAATTTTGAAAACATTTTAAGTTTTCAGGATACGCTTTCCAAGTAAGACAAAACTTGAAATTAAATAATGTCAGCCTTGTTTTTCTCTTAGTCATTAAATTTTTTTTTGGGGGGGGGGGCACATATATAAAAGTAATATGTTTGCATATAAATAATTATAAACTTCTTACTACAGATTGATACTGGATGGTGTTTCGATTCCAATAAAAGCTTGAACAAAAATTACCAAAAATTATTTTCATCCCAAATTGTAGATGCTCATCAGTCAATCGGTTATTTTGTTTATTAATTTTCAATTATGAGAAAAAGTTGTTCATGTATGAATGTATTCCCAAATCATGTATGAATGTATTCCAAATAAATCGATTATTCTTAGTGCAAAAATTCGTAACTGAGCTTATGTATTTTTTGACAAGCACAAATAAAATTTAATCAAATCTGTATCTTCAAATCTTTGAATAAGATTCATATCACACTGTAAATCCCATTTATAGATTTCATTTATAGAAAACTTCATTTATAGATTTTCTGGTGCATTATTCGTGTTTTTTTAATAGTACAAAATAATGTAAACTTGCCCTTTAAATAACTAAAATCATAAAATCATTGTAACAATTACCTAAGTGAAATGTATTTGCAGGCCACAAGTTTAAGATTACTGATATAGAGCACATAAAAGCAATGTCTTTTAAAATGAAGGATCACAAAACTATTCAGATACAATTACTATTGATTAACCTACATGCCCCTAATGCACTGTTGGCAGTGGTAGGGCCTGTGGTCTTGCATGAAGTGGGCATCTTCTGTTCCAAGCTAGGCTTTTCAAGAAAGTTAGTAGGCAGGGACAACACCTGTTGGTAAATATCTTGTGTCCTTCCTACTTGTACCTATACCTATTGATTAACCAGCCATCTCTAAAATAATGCTAAGCTTGTTAATTGCTGAATGTTGGAAAAACTACCATCAATAACCATTTAATGTAAAATAAAATTGTCTATGGTAAATACAGAAAGGAATAGAAAATTGCACAGGATAACAGCAATGACATCAAATGTTGTCATACTATTCTGGAGTTGTTTTTATCCTTAACTGTTAGTAACTGAATTACATATAATGCAGAATATATCAAAAATGCATAATTAAAATAAAATTACATAAAAAAGACAAACAGTTCTGATAGATCTTTTCACTTGAACTTAAACTCGATGACACCATTCAAGTTCTTTCATCAATATAATTTTTTACTGCGATTTATAACTTTGTTTCTTCATTTCTAATTACAGTATTTCCTCATGTATTTTCTACCCTATCTAAATTTTTAAAATAAAATTTTTAAAAAAATCTTGCGATTTCTCCCTCCCTCAGTGCATTCAGAAAACGAGTTAGCTACATTTAAAAATAGATTCGTCCACACAGCGACTGCTTTTATCTTACAGATGAATCCTTGCAAAAAATCTGTGAAGGTCAGACTGAACCTTTTCTAAATATTAAACTTTATGTCAGCCAAGACAAAAACCCAACCATCACAGCATAGCAAATGTGAACCAACATTCAGTCTATGATTTTGTCGATTTGGCTTCAAGTTCACCTTGTTTATTTATTCATGGATGATCTTAGACCTATGGAGTAGCAGAGGAAACTATAAGAATGGAACAAGTTACAAGAAAATAGAAATGAAAATATAAGATATAGAAATTTTAATATCACAATGCATTCTTATTGGAATGTAGGTTTCTTTTAAAGAAGTAATACTGTGGTAGTTACTTGTAATTTATCCATAACTAATTTCCATTTGTCTTGTTCTTACTGACCGTGACCTTCAGAATTTAAATTATTTTCATGATTTTCCACTCTTGATTTTTGTGCGATAAGATTAGTAAAAAAGGGGGGAAATAGACAAGGGAGTATGTTATGTTTATTCTTCCATTACTCACACTCATCTTGTTTTCAATATTCATTTGATTTATATAACAAAATGAACAGTTCAGTACTCTAGATTAAGCTGCTTTAAAATATTGGTGAAGAAGAGAAAACACAAGAAGCAGAGTTAGAAATTTTGCTGTCAACCAACATATAGGATAACCCAACATATAGGTTGTTAGAAACAGGGCCAGATTAAGACCTATAGAGGACCTAAGCACTTAAAAGATTTTGGTGTCCCCATATATGTTCACACCAATTTTTCCTTCCTTCTTTTTCCCTTGATTTTAATTTAGCTGCACCATACACATCAAGGTAAAACTGGCAAAGAGAAATTTTTTGGTATCCTCTTTCTTAAATACCTAAGATCATTTTTGTGGTGCCCCCTTTTCTTGATGCCCTATGCATGTGATTACATTGCTAAACAGTTAATTCAGCCCTGGTTAGAAATCTATTTTGTTTATGGTGTTATACCTGAGAGTTACTAGCCTGAGTGAAGACATGCTATTGTGGTGGGCTCTCTAAGGAAAACTAAACCGTATTCATGTTCTTACGCATAGAGAAAATCACAGAATTCTCCAACACAGCCAGTCCATATACTGGGATTCAAAGCTAGGATGAATTACCGGTGTTCAGCAATTTTATCCATTCGGCTACCAGAGGCCTATTTCATTTATGGCATTTATGGCATAAAATAGCGCTTTCTGCAAAATGTCAAAATAAAATGACTCCAAGGTGATTAACTTACACAATGCACTTTTATAATATTGGAAACAAGCAAAGACCATGTTTATTATTATCTGCAAATAATGCTTATTTATGGTAGTACAGTCTTCTGGAGGGAAAAAAATATACACCCATAATAAAGAAAGTTACTGTTTTTATTGAAATTAAATATGAATAAAGCACAGATTTTTAATCATTTCACAGATAGTGATATGATTAAAAATTCAAGACCATAGGACCCATCAGTGACTGGCAACTGCACACTTAATGTTCAAATCAGCAATTGGTGAAACTCCACTGGTGGAGATGCATACTTGTAAATGTATAAGTAAGGAGTGATAAAGATTCTTATCTCATCCTATGATACATACCTCAACTAGCATTTCAGATCTGCAACAATTTGGGGTGCCTCTATCTATCAGCCTATCATAGCCCACATATGTTTGACAGGCAAAAGATCTAGTGACCTTGATGGCCAAGGAAGGGAATCAATAGCTTGGAGACAGTCCAGCATTTATGGAAGCCATATTGTGTCTGCATTATCCTATTGGAAAATGGCTCCAGGATATTGTACTGTAATAGGTAATGAAAAAAGGTCACAGGATGTCATCAACATATCATCGGGCTGTTAAAGTTGTATGCAGGATGATTAGGGTCGACCTGCTGTTGTAAGAGATAGCAACCCACACCATGACATCAGGGATAATGGCTATGTGCCGCTGCAAAGCAAAGATGGATTGGGACCGCTGGCCCTAGACTCTCTATACACGCACATACTCAACAGCCATCTGCAGAGCCAGATTTCGACTTTATGAGGCCCTAAACTACTTGAGATTTGGAGCCCTTTATAAGTCTTTGGTAATATATTTTAATACTATTTATACTATATTTTAATTTTTTGGTAAAGCTATAGCTTGCGTAGCTTATACGTAAATCCGGCCCTGGCCATCTGCTCCAAGACTGAAGCAGGATTCATAGCTGAACACTATGCGATGCCAGTGTGGCACCAGTCAGGGTGATCGTTATGATACCACTTTAAACTACTCTGCCACTGTTGTGGGGTTAAAGGCAGACATACGAAAGGCTGTTGTGAGTGCAAACCCACCTTAACCAAGGGCCATGAGATGGTGGATGGTGCCAGAAGTAATATAAAAGATACTGGTAGCACACTGGACAGCAGACGATGCTGTTGGAGCAGTTTGGGCCTGTTGCACAATCATCCAATCTTGCCTAACATCCATGCACCTTCACCACCCACAGCCTTGATTCCGTCAATGAGTACCTTGTAGAACCATTGTTGCCAGCACCTTTGCACAGCCATGTCCATTAAGTGCAGGTAACAGCTTATTGTTTGGTATAAACAACCCACTTCATCCATCCCTATTATGTAACCATGTTTGAAGTCATTCCACTGTCTATATAGTCTTCAAGAAAATTGTACAGTCTTTCCTAGTTATATCTTCAAAGAATTGCATTGAACAATGAAAAAGATTAACTGTCTGCAAATGTTACTTGTTTTATATGATGCTAGTTGTGTAGTAGAACAAATGCTACGACCAAAATTAACATTCTTTGGACTTGAAAATTTAACAACTGGCATAGTTGGTGTGAAAGAATTTATATAAAAAATTTCCAGATGATTGTATTATTTTTTTAAAGTGTTTCTCCCCCCCCCTTTTTTTTTCTTTCAAAAGACTGTATTTCATCATAAAACAGGGCCCTTTTCTTAACTAATTTTGGTGTCCAGAATTTGAGAGTGGGAAATTATGTGTAATTTAATTTCCAATGAATGCAGTTACACTAAGAACATAACAAATGAAAAGTAGTCTCAGATAAAGTACTGGCAGCTATCACAATATTATTCCATTAAAAAAACCTACAATTCAATAAGAATATATAGTAATATTAACATTACAATATCTGATGGATATTGAGCTGATTTCCAATGGTAAGTGAGGCAGACGAGGTCGCACTAGTTCCTCAGGTGCACCTCACGTAAATGAGTTTTGACCACAGTTCCCATGAGGTTCATTACAGGAATAAAAGAGAAGAGGGCTGATTAAAAGATTCAGATTCTGAAAGATTATACACATCAGCATAGATAAGGCTACAATGAGCTGGAATATAAATAACAGAAATTAAATAAACATGAAATCATATATCTGGAAAGCTTCTTAAGTGTAAAAACACCTGCCACATTTATGTAGCTTAACGAAGAATCTGCACAAAATACATTTTAAATAATAAATGCAAGCAAAAATAAAATGAATGAAATGCTAATACATGGGATACAAATTTTAAAAAATCAAGGGAATAAATTTACCAATAAACTAGCTGTCAGAAGAAAAAAACTATGATAGAGGAAGGGGAAAATTATGCAAACACTTTAAAAAATTTTAGCACCTAGCGTTAAAAAACTAAGGCGAAAATATATGAAGAAACAAAATTCATTTCCTACGAATATTTACCAAAAAATAAGTAAATAAAATAAATAAATCAAACTTACAAGGAAACAGAGATTCTGGATTGATATCATTCTCAAGGTTTACTCTTTGGTCTTTTTCTAGAATACTAGGTATCACTTCACACAGTTTTTCAATTTCAGAATTCATTTCACCTTCCTAAACACAAACATAAATTTCAGAATCAAGGTTATACAGTGAAAGAAAAAAATAATCAATTACCTTAAAAATGCATTGCTGCACTGACTTGCAGTTTAGAATTAGAACACAAAAATATACTGCAAGCTTATTAATGCCCTAAAGGAACACAAGCTTATTAATGCCTAAAACCAGGGTTACTTAAACTTTTTTCAGTCGCAACCCCTTTTTATCACTGAGATTTTTCGTCACCCTCAGGACCCCATAATATAATATTTACAAAAATTTTGTGGGACCCCATAAGTATTGCGCAAATCCAACACATGCATGAGTGAAACATTCAATTTTTTCACTTGTACTGTAATGTACTGCAGTTTTAGGTCATTAACCTTTAACTGCTGTGACAATTTTTTCCGTATAATTACTGTGAGCGGTCTCACAGAAACGCGTAAAAATACATACTTTTATGCCTTTTTAAGGAACGTTATGCATATTTATAGAATACTAATTCTTTTAAATCAATATATTTTAATCATATATCATTTAATTTTATGCAGTTAAATTCATATAAAAAATAACTATTTTCTTCGTTTTAAAGAAAAAAGATTTTTTACTCATGCATGAAAATATGAAAGTATTATTTATGTATTACTTTATTAAGAAGTATTACTGTCAATTAAACCATAATTCTACAACAATGAACTTAATTATTGATAAATAAAAGATTAGTATATCTTTGTCTACAAGGATGAATCATGAGATGATGCACAGTCAAAACACATTTTTGAGACCACTGAAGACACACTGGTTCCTTGCATTCCAAACATTTGTATGCTGTTTTTCTCTTCTTACAAGATGGGCACAGACTACATATTTTTCTTTTTTCCAATTTTCCTTTTTTATTTGATAAATCCATTATCTTTATTTCCAAGGATTCTTCAATTGTTACCTTAAATTCCCTTAGCAAAAAAGCGGAAGTTATCCCAGCTTTCAGATGTGATTTAATAATTTGATTAGCTAATAAAAGCATAAATTTTTTTGTTTTCAGTTTTGTAGCATCAGGATGGGACTGGAACAATATGTATGAACATAAATTCCAAGTATCTTTGGGCTCTGCTGTAAGCAGAGCAGGGTGTTTCAGACAGGAACAGCAGGGTGTTTCAGACCAAGGAGCTGAATTATTGTGTTATACTTTGGTACCCGATTTGGTTCTTTTTTGCACAATTTGAAGTGCTTTTTTTCCATAAAAATAGTCATTTTGTTCACAGTCATTAGAAAAATTATGATATTCATCAGCAGAAAGCTCCTTTTCACTTTTGCTTTCGCTGTAAAACATGATTCTTCAGAATCAGACTATTCTACATAAAAAATATTGTTGACAAGATATTCAATTTCTTCTTGAATGAGATATACGGGACATTTTCTCGTAAAATATAAAGCCATATTTACCACTTTTACGAAAAACAAGCATCCGATAAATAATGTCTATCGTGCATTAAACTGGTACATATCTGCTGTGAGAGGTCTCCCAGACTGCTTAAAAAGTAAAAAACGTGGTAACCGAAATCATAATAAAGTTAGAAGTGTGAAACTAGATATGTGATCTTGTGAAACAGGTTTGGGAAGGTAGGATATACAGAGACCATTCTCCGTTTTTGGAGTGGAAACGACCGTTAGAAAATCCTCAGTGGTCTCTCAGACCGCTCACAGCAGTTAAAGGTTAACTTCTAATTTTAAGACATAGAACAATGAGAAAATTTTAAATCAGTAACAGATGAAATGACAGCGTCACATGCAAAGCAAGGAAAATGAATTTTTAGGTTATAAAAAGAATGCGTCGAAAAGTTTTCGTTTTTTTTCTTTGCCTGTATTTTCTTATTTATTTTCACACATTGTGTAAAAATATTTGGTAATTGTAAAATTATTATAATAAGAAATATCAAAATTTCTAAAATTTTTGGCGACGCCCTGCTGCAGGTGCAGAAATCCCCAAAGGGTTGCAACCCACAGTTTAAAAAACCTGCCCTAAACTAACAAAGAGTAATTTATCAATAAAATATTCTACAGAAATTAAAATAAAAGAAACGAATGTTGCTACATCATTGATACAAAATCATAATGGCTACAAGGAGCTCCTATTAAGATGGGCAAACGAGGGTCCAGTTGATTTCTGTTATCTGAACAGGTCATCATCACCTTTAGAAATATTACTATCATGGATGTTCAAAACCCTCATTCACTTATTTTTTTTTCTAGAATACAGTGGTAATTAAACTACTTAAATGCAGTTGATAATGACAGAGGTTTTCGCCTAACATTTGATGCAATGAGATGAGAATTGTTAAATTAAGGAGTTAAAATATGTTTATCTTAACACATCAAAAAGTACTTTCTTGTTTTGGGAGATGAGAATTCTGCTGCCATTTCTTTCTTTCCATCAAATAACTATAAAACTGCCATTTCTTTCTTTTCATCGAATAACTATTTTACATTCAATTTTCAGGTCGTTTTCTCTTTTGTCAATAAAATTCGCAGTTCTGTACTTAAGAGCCCTATTCCGGATATGAACTCATGGGATGCTAACAGGATCCCTTGTTAATGTGGTTTCATTTATGTTGGTCAAAATAAGAGGTCCTTAAAATTTAGCGCTAAGCCATATGAAGTATATGTTAGAAAAGAAAGAAACACATAAATCCTCTGTTACCCTATACTGTTGGTCAGAAAATCCCGTTTTTCTTTTTCTGCAGTTAAATTTAGTCAAAAAATAACTTCTGTTGGAAAATTAAAATTTTTAGACGAGTTTCACATTCATAAAAATATTTCAGTTCTAGTTAAAGATCCCAATTCCAAGCCATCTTTACCTTCAGCTTTAAAGGAAATTATTTCACAGTTGTTTTCATTTTTAATAATAGATAGTGACAATAGCTTGACTTCTTACCTCTCATTCTTATTGCCTGAGCATTGGCCTCGCTTTCATCATTTGCTTTTCTGCAGCTGAAGAAATACATTCTTTATTTAAACCTTTATAACTAGTTCTGTAAGTTTATGAATATTACGCTGATTTATGTTGCTTTAAATCCTCTAATAATCGTTTTCAGCGAGCTAGTTTGAACTTGAAAAAGATCAGAGATATTACAGCAAGCTGAGAAATTGCTTTCTATCTGGATAACATAGTGTGCTGGCAATAGCATAGATAATTTGTGGAAAGTCAAAACTGATATAGACCAATATTTTGCAAAACAAGACAGGAACAAACAAAGAAGATGAAGTGATTAAAGCCATCAATGGCTGGTTTGAAAATTTTGAGAAGACTAGTTGGATTCACAATGTCGTGAGACATGGATAGGGAGCTTATGCAAAAGAAGATGCCACTATGATGATTTTGTTTAAAGTTTGGGGAATTTGCAAAGGCTTTTGTTTTCTCGCAAAGTTGTGAATGATCTGAAATAGTCAATATGTCTAAAACAGACCCTGAGGAGGTGTCTCTGTGGGTAAATTCCTAGGTCTGGATGAAAGTAATAATGATGTGGAGGAGACAGTAAAGGGAAACAAAGAACTAATCACTGAGGGTTTTCAGGAACTTGAAAAGGAGGAGCACAAGACCATGATAGTGGTATTTTTTTCAGGCTTAGATGAGAAGGAGATTGAAGAAATCACTACTTCATTAATCAAGGAAATGTTTACCAATGGATGGAAATCAAAAACATTGCAGATCGTGGAAACTATGTAAGAAATCTTATGTGGACATCGCATGACTTACTTGTATGGCCTATTAAAGTACATACATTTTTTGCTGAACTTCATTTAAATTCATTTCCACGAATTATTAACCGATCCCTCAAGGCATAACGAGCACTGTAATCCAACAAAGTAACAGTAAGTATGTACACGAAAACTTGAATATGTTGCACGCAATTCAAGATAAAAAGTATTTGTCTATGTATCATATTTTATGCTTTATGAATATTCATAATCAGGGTGTAGCCAATCAGCAAGAGTCCTATCCTGTTCACAGCCTCTTTCTGGCCTGCGCCGTTGGAGTGAAAAGATCACTACACAATGCTTCGGATACGAGTCTCATTCTTGTGTGTATAATAAAAAATATTTTTATATCAATGCTGTTTCATTCAGTTATAGAGTCAGATCAACCGATACCACTCGTCAATGATAATCATCCTTCAATGGTAATGAAAAATCCTTTACAGTAATGGATACTTCTGGTTTTGAAAATGACATTGAAAACCTCAAATTTTGAAATTAAATAACCGGGTCAATTTTTGTCATATAGGAATCAAATGTCTTTTATAATTTTATTTTCTCATAATGAGTACATAACCTTCCCAAACAAGTACAAGACTCGCGAGACCGCATTAAAAGTTATATTTGTCAAAAATTAAATTTTTCTTTTAATTTGACATTGCTAAAGTATGAATATTTTCATACTTTAAAACACATCTGTAATTGGACATATATGGCTACAACCAACAATTTCCTAAACAAGGGCCGGGTAAGGGGGTGGGTATATACTATATATATATATATATATAATTTATCATTAGAAAACTATATATATATTAGTTCTGTTGATTGCAATGAAAAAGAGAAGTGCACAGCTGGATATTATAGGAATGCCATATACAAAATTTAAACGTCCTACTGCTAATGGTTTTTAAGTTATGCAAAATACATAGATAAATACATACATAAATACATACTGACCCAGCCAGTGTTGCCAGATCGTGCGATTTTACGAAAATTTGCGACTTTCAACAAACTTGTGACTAAAATTTTAGTAATTGCGATTTAGCAAAATTTTTGCGACATCCATCATTTTCTTATGCTATTTTTTGCGACTTCAAAAATTTGTTTAATATATCGTAAAATGCTTTTATCTTAACATAATTTATCAATTAAAATTTATATTAAAAAATCGGATGTGTACACCACATGACTTCCTTGTACGGAATATTAAATTATACGCATTTTTTCTTGCATTTCGTTTAAACTTATTGGATTTAATTAAATCTACTTCGCCGACATCGCATAAACCACGATAGAATAAATGCATTCTTTAAAATTCACTCTATTTGTTTACCATAGCGACACTCTGACGCTAGGTTACTTAACAGTATTATATTTCGTTCATATTATAACACAGAATGCACAAAATTTATATCATTTAAAGAATTATCTAATCGTTGCCACATGTTCTATTTAAATACTAAAGCTAGAACGATATATAAAAGAAATTAAGCAAACAAAAGAAAAAAGAAACAGTTTTTCACAGACGATTGAGTATTTCTCATTCAATCAATTCAGTTCTCACTTCGCGACAAGGCAAAAATACATAAAAGCTCAAAATATTTGTATTAAAAATTACTAATTATTAAAAATTAAATTACTAATTATTAAAAATTAAGTAAATCTTAAATACTTATTTTCTCGAAAAAAATTCCACAAAGGATTAAGCATGATTTAAATCGCAATAATAAATGAAGGCGTTATCTTTGTTGTTGCGAAGCTACGTTTTTCTAGGTTGGCTACAAATTCACTACTCTGCTGTTTCAAATGTAAACAAGCAATGGCCGCCATCAAAAAAAAAAAATATTAGGCTTAGCGGCATTTAAACAACTTTTAAATTGTTGATAATTCTAAAAATATTGCATACAGATTTACTAAAAGCATAAAAACCTTAACCGGAAGATAAGAACAACACAATTCAATCATTTTTAAAGCAAAAAATGTACAATTTACAAACAATATATTTATAAATATATTTATATACGTTTGGCGCGGCCGATTGCAACCAAAATACGAGGTGCACATCTACATGTTATAGTAGTCCTATATACAAGATTTCAACGTTCTGAGGCTACTCGTTTTTGAGTTACGCAAGATACGTACATACGTACGGACATACGTTCGTACAGACGCCACGAAAAATTCTCTTCAAAATTCATTTTAAACCAGTTTTATAATTTTTTGGAGGAAAAGAGTCTTTTATTCTGTCCTTACGTAGAGATATCAAGCAAAAGCATCTTTAAATTGGATTCGAAAGCGGTCAAAATGGATATTTTTGTTGAAATATGCTGCCTGAAACTTTTCGCGATTACAATACTTCCTTTTTACTTCGTACAAGGAAGTAAAAATAGTTTATTTAGGCTTAAAAAGAAGCTGACATCTGGCTATCTTATTTAGATGCGGGCTTTCCTTTTCAAGGCTACACTGCCCGATGCCGGTATAACGAGAAAGGGGTAACGGAAGTGAAAAAGTTAAACAATATATATATATATATATATATATATATATATGCTTCAGAACCTCTCACTACCTTCCCTCGTCCTTCATGCATTTTGTTTTTAAGTCAGTTTCCTCCCTTCCCAGTTTTATAGCGATAATGAATCGAACAAACGAACTTGCAGCTAGCGTGCCATAATTTGGGTACCTAAACAGAGAAATCAAATTCATACTCCTGATTATATTACTAAGAACTAAGCAATGGAAATGATTTGAAAATAAAAGCAGTAGCATTTTTTCTAAATCACAACAAAAATTAATTTAATAGTGAAAGAACAAGGCCTTCTTAAGTAATCAGAATCTGAAACAGATCCACCGTACAGAACGGAAAACTGACTGTTAAGCATCCCTCAGTTAAAATGTTCACACTTAAGCAAAAAATAAATAAATAAATAAATAAATAAATAAATAAATAAATAATAATAACAATAATAATAATAATAAAAAATTAAATTAAATTAAAAATAAAAATAAAAATAAAAAATTAACTGCTAGTTCAAAAAATTTAATACACAAGAGCTAGCAGTCTAAAGGTGAGGAATCTCTTAAGAATGGATACCTGCAAATTAATTTAAAATTCAAACCTGAATTAAATTAGAATTAATTAGAAAGAAATGGATATTAAACAATTGAAAATGAGCAATATAATTTTAAAATTTTCGTTAAAGCTAAGACATGTAATATAGAAATCTAAGAACTAAATACAGTCTGTAACTTACAAAACCAAACCAATAGAAGGTAAATTTTATGGACCTTATAAGGAATAGACCAATCCAAATGGATTTTCTCCCTTGTGGGACACGTTCCCGACTGTCACCTTGATCACATCCGGAGGAGTAGGGACGACTTGCAGAAATTTAACAGTGGTTACCTATTGCAGCGTGTATAATTGTCAAGAAAAAGCTGGTTGTAGCGCCTCATTTCACATATTAGAATTTCTCCATATTTTTATTTTTGAAATTGAGATCGATTTTTAAAAATTTAGCATATTTATCAGGCATAATTAGCTTTCCAAATAATTATAAAGCTATTGCATGCTTTCAGGTCTGGATATTTTTTTAGCTTTTTCTATGCTGCAAGAAAATTTGTAATTACTTTTAGAAAATAATTTTTTTAATCTGAACTAATAGAAAATTTCAAACAAGCAATTTTTCTCTTGCAATTTTTATGCTTTTTATTAAAGTAAATAAGTAAAAAATACTAAAATATTTTAAAACGAATTTTTGAAAGTTTTGCTTAAAATTCTAAATTGAGCTGCTTTTTTTAAATTATGGATGAGTATTATAGCATAACTTCTATAAAGGAATTTTATTTCAATTATATTTCATAATACATCATAGTGATAAACACTTTTGACTACTTAATTTTTATACATTTAATTCTAATATTAAAATTGTATTTAACCGTAATAATTAATTTTGCTTGTATTTTATAGTGATTATTTTTTAAATTTACTTTTAGTTCTGCATAAGATTTTTTTTATTTACTGCTAATTTAATTTATTAGCTCGAAGCGGCATTTTGCGCGGTTTCACTATAAATGCCCGTGCTTCCTTTCAAATTATTGCTACCAAATATTATCACCCTGTATTATATTTAAAGAAATTAAATAATGAAGAATCTGCATGAATACATGTATGTTTCTCGCACTACGACAAAAACGACGGTATAGAGCCATCAAATTTTGAATAATGTAATCCTCTGCCCAAACATGGGCATCTGGACGGCCGAATGTCGAATTTGTTTTCATCTATTTCATATTTTGTAAAACTTTAACGAATTTTTAATTAATAAACTCAACGAGTTCAAGCCGAGCAATGGTAACACTGTACGGAAAATAACATTTTTATCTCCAGTGCGGAAAGATATGCTGTTCTCAAATGTATCTGGTTTACGGGCGAAGAACATGATATTCAATAAATATAGGTAACACTCAAAACGTTAAAAAAAAGGTTCCTTTAGGGCGTAATATAAACTCTGAGTGCTCTTCTAGATTTTATTTTATCTTCCCCCTTCATTACACTCAGAAAATTTTATGCTTCAAATTTTAAAAATTACTAAAATAAATAATCCACTTTAATGTTAATAATTTAATGATGATATCATCAAATAAATAATCGTTTTGTAATGTTATTATAGTTTTGAAAATCACTGCCTGAAAATGTTCATTAAATTAAAAAAAAATTACCAGATCTTGTTTAATTTTACCTTATTTATTTCAAAGCATCACGTGCTATCAATCTTGTTTAATTTTACTTTATTTTTACGCAAAATTAAGCTGATAAATTTTTTTTTACCGTTTTACCAAAGATGTTTATACAAGAATTACGCGTGAAAAAAATGCGCGAAATGCAGTAAAAAGTGCTTTAATGAGATATATTAAATCTTATTTGAAAAAAACTGTGACTTTCATAATCTCATCAATATGCAACGTATCACATTTAATAATTAAAAACAGTTATGTGATACAAACGCGATAGGTTTCAGTGTTAAAGTAAACCAGATCGTCCCTACTCTTTCTTGCGGACATGTCGGTGACGCGTGCCCCGCCCACTGGGTTAGTCTATCTCTTATAAGATCCATGGTAAATTTGTGATGACGTCAGAGGTCATGTGAGCCAGCGTAACTACGACGTCACAAAAACACGTGATCTCTGCTGTCATTTGCGATTTTTGCGACTTTTTTGAGTCTACTTTTGCTATTTTAGTTGAAAATTTTCTGGCAACACTGGACCCAGCTAGGAACATCTGTTCTAGACATTCAAATGATATTTATTACCTGTAAAAATACAGCGACAACAGAAAGGCCTTCTGCAGACGGAATAGCATCAGCACAGGTTGGGAACGTTTCTTTATTCCAGTGGACAAAATGCAGCTGCCAACAATAAATTAGTAAATTCTTAAGAAAACTAAAATATCATAGGAATAATATGTAAGAAGTTTTGATGATTATAAATGAAAGACAAAACATTAAAAGCATGCAACAAAAATTTACTAAATATATAGCAATGCATTTAAATCAGAGTTTAATGAAAACGTAACTAATAAAAATTTATTTATTGAAAACACCAAAATATTTCAAAGCAAATATGTGAATAAGTTTTGAGTAAAAACAGTTACATAAGCAACAAATTGATCTGAATTCGAAGGTAACACAAAATTAGCCTTACACTGTCATCAGTTTCCAAAGAAAAGTTTGTACATTTTTGAAAGAACCGAATATTGTTTTCTCTCCCTCACACAAATAAAAAAAAAAAAAAAAAAAAGTCAATTATTCATTACTATTAATATTTATTTTATTTGGACCAGTGGTGTAGCTGCAGCTTACCCGGGGTTTACCCTGAGTTTGCCTTCTGGGAAAGTCCCTGAATTTGCTGCCCTTCTTGACGTACAAACAAGTCAAAATGACACATATGGAAATAAATTAAAACTCTACGTTTAATTTTGAAGAAAAATTTTAATTCCAACATTTCAAAATTATATAATTATTTTGTTTACTTTTCCCGAAAGGAAAAAAAAAAAAAAGTCGATAATATTGTGGAGGTTTGCTTGACTGTTTGAACTGCTGTTATGCAGACATATCTTAAATGCAAAATATACATTTTTAGTTCTAAAAAACCTCTTTAAGGATTTTTATTTAGAAACCTCTTCTGGCAACAGCAGTACTTAGAGCAATATTGACGGAAGTTCGCAAGAGTATTACAATATTCGAAACTTTGCTCTGGAAATAATATTTGTTCATTTTTTACTTTGTAACTTCGTTCTGGAAAATTGTACTCGTATTTACTGATCAGCTGCAAAAATTCAAAGGAAGTGCCCTTCCATGCTCCTTTTCCCTTCCAATAACGGACGGAATGAAAAAGGTATAACAAGTATATGAAGTTCTTGAAATATCGTTGTGATTTCTTTGAATTCTTTACCTTGAGTAAAAACAGGCTTTCTTCGCAATTGAATTCTTCATAGCAATACAGAATCTCATTACTCTTTATCAGCCTCAACGGTCTCTATTATTTTTGTCAATACAATAAGGTTTCAGACAAAAAATGCGGTCACCGAAAATATGCCGACCTAGTCGGAACGCGTCCTTTAGCTACGCCACTGCTTTGGAGATAAAAGGGGAGAGAGGAAATTTAGGAAAATCTTTTGATGACCTCGAAGCGATTTTTTCAAAATTCGAAACGGTTTTTTTTTTTAATTTAATCTTTTCGATTTTATCGCATCATTTTGAATAGTTTCATTCTTTTAGAAATGTGGTTTTGGCAACAGTTTTCATTCAATTGCATACTGGAATGCTGATAAGGCGATAATTCTGTGCAGTCATTAAATTTAATGTTTCTCTTGGATACTGAACGTTTGTTGAGAGAAGGCAACGGAAAGTTGGTTAACTTTGGATGCACTCAATAACACTGCTTGCCATTAAAATTGCTACACCATGAAGGACAACAGTTAAAAGAATCATATTCACTTTGCAAGCAGGGGCATATGGAGGCAGTGAAACCGCTGAGGCCAACTTGCGTAAATATGCAGATAACTTTATGCGCCATTATCCGTCAAGGTACGAGGGTTTATGCGCTATTATTCGCCAAAGTACAAGACCGCCTTGATATTGATATTAAGACACAAAGGCACCCTATAATTTTCAGAACATAGGATGAAGAATGCGGCCTTCGGCAAGATTCCGAGACATTCCTGTGGAGATCTAAGTATTTAGACGTTGATTTGATTAAAGGTTCAGGCATTTTTGCTTATTAACTATTGTTACTCAACACACAAGAACTGAATGGTACCCTTATGAAGTTCAGGCTACACCATCAAGAATGCAATTTTCATCAAGATGCCGGAAACCATGGGAAAATCTAAGTGAATAGTTAGCGACTTCAATAAATGTGTTTGTACTTGAAATTTTTGTACTGCTAAAGGTGTCACTACTCTTCCCTGTAACGCACGAATGCCATAAAATGCTAATTGTTTGTATATTCCAGCATGTTCTACATCTTTAATAAATTTCAAATTTGTTCTCCATTTACTTCATGGTTCTGAGTTTGCTTCAAAGCAATTTTAATGGGCGACAGTGTACAAAAGTCACGCTTTCGCTAAAGAAATAACAAAGAAGCATTTTCCATCTTATGATCTTACAATTCTGCAGATAAATTATACCACAATATCTTTTCTTTACAAAATGAACAAAAGTGCTTACTTCACCGGCATAAGATTTCCCATCAATGGTGTGTTCTGATCCACATGAATAGGAACTGCCCCAGTGACAATGAAATTGCACTAATTCGTACGTATGCAATAGTGGACCTCCACATAATTCTAAAATGAGAGAAAAGATACATAAAAAACAATGAATAAATATTTCAACTCTACATATAATAAAAGAAAGAGTCTCTGTGTCTTTCGTTCGTGCTGCGCTTAAGTTAATAGACCCAAGGCTACGAAATTTGGTGCCCCCCTCAAATAACAGTTAACAGAAAGTGCATCTAGACAAGAGCCAGTGCAACTCGAAGCGATTTTTTCGAAATTCGAAACGGATTTTTTTAAAATTTAATCTTTTCGATTTTATCGCATCATTTTGAATAGTTTCATTCTTTTAGAAATGTGGTTTTGGCAACAGTTTTCATTCAATTGTATACTGGACTGCTGATAAGGGTTGATAAGGCGATAATTCTGTGCAGTCTTTAAATTTAATGTTTCTCTTGGATACTGGACGTTTGTTGAGGGAAGGCAACGGAAAGTTGGTTAACTTATTTATTAGAATAATTAACATTTGTATTAAGGGATATTGCCTACGTCATTGTAATTTTGTTATATGTAATATATATATATATATATATATATTTTTTTTTTTTTTTTTTTTTTAGTCCAAAGGGGCTTTGTCCCTGGAAAACTATTGTTTTCGTTTTGTGATTTTGCATTGAATCACTATAAATGTCCGTTTCACTTTTCAAACTGTTGCCACCAAATGTTAGAGTCCTGCTTTATATTTGAAGAAATTAAAAATGAAAAATCTGCATAAATGTATGTATATTTCTCGCATTGTGATAAAACAACGGTGCATAGAGCCATCGAATTTTGAATGACGTAATCTTACTGCGAATATGGGCATATGGAAACCCAAATTTGAAATTTGTTTTATTATCGATTTCATATTCATAACTTTAACGAATTTTTGATTAACAAACTCAACGATTTAAAAGAGAGCAGTGGCAACACTCTACGGGGGGGGGGGGGAACCTTTTTATCTCCAGTGCGCGGAACTGTGTAACAAAAATTCTAAAGATATGCTCATTTTAAAATTATTTTGCGATATTGCTGTTGAACTGAATTTTATGGTTTAAGTGCAAAGAACATGATATTTAATAAACAAAGGTAACACACAAAACGTCAAAAAAATGCCCCTTCGCACGTAATTTAAAATCTGAAACCTTTCAGGTTTTTTTTTTTTTTTTTTTTTAAATGAAGTTGTGCTGCAGATAAAAATTGTGCGCAGTTTTTAAATTTAACGTTTGGTATTCAGACATTTTTCCGATACATTTAAAAGCCACACAAGGCTGCCACGTAGCTGCTAGTATTTCAATAAAAAGGATTACTACTATATAATCAATAAAGTACAACATTTAACATTTGAGAAGATGTGCTTTTAATTAATACAACACCATTAGGCTGCGGGGACTGGTGATATCCAGTTTCAGGTCTGCTCATAGATCTTGCCAGATAATCGAGCAAATGGCTCGTACTTACTTTGTAAAAGCAAAATAAGTTATATACGTTTTACTTCCGCTTACGTACATATATATATATATATATATATATATATATATATATGCATAGCATATAGCTGAAGGAGGTAAACATTTCAGTCCAAAAATTTCATACTGAGTTTTCAGTTAAGCACCATCTAAGGCCCTCACAACACGTTTTGACTGCTTTTAAATCAAGTCTGTCTGAGTGTAAGTATGTGTATGATGATTTTTCCGTCCATGATTACTCCTATATGAAACTGCCAAAAATTTACATTTTTAGTATTCAAGCTTTTGGCAGATATATAAACAGCTGATTAGATTTGGGGTAAAATTTAGGCCCATAAAGGCCTGTTTGCATTGGTGGGAATTTGAATTTAAGAAACACTCATGAACCTAAAGTACACTCTCCCTAAAGGAAGAACGGGCACTCCATTTTTACCTCCCACCCACGAATTTACTGTAGACATAGGTAAGATTTTAGGTCTAAAAATGCAACAGCGAGTTTTATATACAGTGAATAACCCCGAATTAGAGTTCTCACAACACCTTTTTAATACTAATTCAGAAGTGAAACAACAAAAAGCATTTATTGTGTCTTAACCTTTTTAGTATTTTTACAATGATATCTATCTGTTTGTATACGAGTGACAACTTTTTTCATTCACGATAACTCTTGTATGAAAAAGAGTTGAGCTGAAATCAAAAAGTAATGACACAGAATTAAGATTTTTTCTAATTTTATACTCATTACAAAAAAATAAAATATTTCAAACCTGCATAACAAAAATTGACCGAGATATTTAACTTCAAAATTTGGCATTTCTGTTATCTTTTTCAGCTTGTTTTAATTGTTTGGGTTCGGTTTATATGATTATGGCTGCAACGCACATACGGGGTATCTACTTAAGAGGAAGGATGCCTTTGTGGAAGACTTTCTGAGGGAAACTGTCTCGTATCCACGTTACACAGGCTAAAGCCCGGAAACGACCATGCAGCCAGCCCGTTCGCCTGGAGTCGAAACCAGGTCGAACTACCAACGTTCAGCGAGCTCACTGCTCGGTCGCTTCAGATACACCGGAAAAGGCCCATGCCCTGTGAAATATTGCGTTAGATGTCCATTAGAAATTTTTAATTCAGAGCTCACTTCAGGAAAAAAATTAAATATTCTCCTTCCTGTGGTATGATTCTCCTAACTCAACTGCCACTGCTCAAATTACTTTTCCATTGTTCTGTTTTTAGAAAAGAAATTGGAAATTTGCATGCTTCGATACTGAATAAACCACGCAGAAACTAGCACGAGTGGCTGTTTCTTGCTCAGCATTTCCTTCTTAAATAGCGGCTGCTGAGATTTTAGCCCGCGTTTCAAAGATTCATATTTTTTCTACCGGTATGCTTCCTGCAAATTTGGAATAATTCTCAGCATGTTTAGTCTCATAATATTTTATATTGTATTCTTTGAGGACTGACATCGTTTCATTGCAAATTATACGCCTTGCTTTATTACTCGACTCAAACACGAAATATTCATATCTCCCATTGCTCTTTAAATGTTCTGCACTCACTATGTTTCGTTTTTTTCCCTTATTTACACGAATCAGCACAAAAGGCACATAACTTCAAATCAAAATAATGTACCTGTCGTTCGGAACTCAAAATTCTCAACTTGTCCAACATTCGGTTATCTCTCCCGTATTTATGCCACGTGTTCTCGATGAGTAGAACATATTCGAAAACACTCGATTATACTCGAATTTTCCAGATAAACGATCACGTAGAAAAACTTTTCCAAATTATACTCTAGCTCTGCTACTCGCTACAAGGTACTGTATGCTTCAGCTAACCCAGTGGGGTAGCTTAACAGCGGCAGGGGGAGGGGGACGGTCGCAAATTTTTGGGGGCGGCATTTTTCGCATGAAATTCCATTTTATAAATGTTAATCGTGTGGATAGTCGAGGAAGGTAAAGAATAATGAGATTCTGAATTCATACAGAATTAAGTTGAGAAAAAAAAAATAGTTTACTTTATCGAAAGTATTCAAAGAAATCACCACCAGATTTCAACAGAAATGAAATTAATGATTTAATTTTAAATGAAAATTACGAACGTCGACTAAATCACGTTGGCGGTGACATTAATAAGAAAAAATTACCCATTAAGTGAGACGCATTTGAGAGTTCTGCTGCCGAGAAAAAGAAATGAGACTGCTGAATGTGGAGTGATTATTTTGAAATTTTATCCCGTTTGTTCTAAATTACAATCTCCCGACAAAGTTCCAAATACTGTAATACGGCTGCGAACTTTCTTTCTCAAAATTGCTGTAAGTGTCGTTAGTTGTGAGAACAGTTTCCTAAATAAAAATCATTTAAGAAATCTTTCTAAAGAGTCTGCATAACAGCAGCTGGAGAAATGAAGTAGATCCCTACGATGTTATGGATGGTTTTACGAACAAAAAACAAGCAAAATATTGAAATAACTTAAAAATGTTTAACATAGTTTAAATTTATTTCCCTATATGTCATTTTGAAATATTTTTGAAAAAAGGGGAAAAAAATACTGCATTTCTTTGATTTTTTTTCAAAGATTCGATTTTCTGTCCTATTTATGGGAAGAAAGATTTATATTTTCTTTGATCACCTTATATTTCTCTATTATAAATTTATATATAATTTCTCTAATATATATAATATATATTAGAGAAATTACATATATAAATATTTTACGGGTTTTGTTTAATTAATAAACAAAACCCGTAAAATATTTCTATTCGCAAGTACGAACACGATTTTAGTAACACTACAACTCTAATTAATTTTTTAAGTCATAGTTTCTCTAAAATATTATTCGAAACTCACCAGAATCACTACCGTGAACGTCAACACGCCAGCCGCACCCTGTGTTAACTATAGACGTTGAATTTTCCGAGCCGTATTTCCATCTTAAAGGCTGGTCGAATTCCTTGGGCAGGACAGATGATGTCACGATGTCGACAGGCGACTGCTTTTTTCCGCCAGCATCGGGATATTTCGAAGGCCAGGTATCCGGTCCTACAAAACCAGACATAAGTATTATTCCAAACAAGAAGTATACGTATTTCTAAAGATCTCTCGGTATTCATGTAGCATGCGATGTACCACTTTTACTTAGCTATTTATTTCATAGATGGCTCCAATGAAACACTATTTCCAAACGTGGAAAGCATAAGTGAAAACGATTACTTATGTATTATCCCGTCGATTGAAAAACCGTCACCAAACAACACGATTTATTTCTAATTATGCATTAGCGTATAGTAATAGCACACATTCATAACCTCTGCGCTTTCTTCTGATCGGCGGCTGATTCTGGATTAACACGCACGCCGTCGTCGACAATCTTTCACCCTTTCGATTCGTTCGTCGTTGTACAAGACGCACATGAAGTGACGTGTCCAGTTTTTAGACACGAAATTTTTAAAGAAAAAGGTGAGAAGGAAATACGGTTTATTAATTGTTACTGCTATATATAAATACATATTTTTTATTTTAAAAGAAATTTTTAAAATTTGGGGCCTGCCTTCTATAGAAGAGCATGCAGTGGATTATTTTCAAAGTTATGGGACCCTTCCATTTAAAAAAGTGTACATTAATGTACAAGATAGGGTCAGCTGAATATGGCCGAGAAAAATGTAATACACTGGAACCATTACCTGTGGGAAGTTTGTATTCATAGCGTTCTGAATAGAGATTCTGTAACATTCAGAGCCTAATAAAATAGTAGAAACAGACGAAAACTTCGAAGCGTAAAACCTAAGGTGGTCGAGTACCGATTAAGAAATAAAGAGGCGTCAGTTCCTTCAGAATTCCACAGGAATGATTAGCGTAACTTTGATGGGATTTCTGTCGACTTTCATAGTTCGATCGATGGTAGCCAGCTTTCACGGTCGACGGGATAATACTTAAGTACCTAGAATTTTAAATAGAAACATGGTGACTAATACGATTTACGGTTAATATACACTCACGTTTGTGAAAATTGCAACACCAAGAAGGAATCGTCATAATTGAATGCAATTTAATACACAGTTGAGTGGTAGTGGTACAAATAAATGATTAAATGTTCAAAGCAAACAAACAAGAACAAGAGATCAGAATCAGTATTTTGTGTGGCCACCACGCGCCGCAATAAGTGCTGCTACACGACGTGGCATGGAGTCAAACAGAGTTTGAATGTCTGACTGAGGAAGAGCATTCCATATCGTTTGTACGCGTACCCAAAGTTCGTCTGCAGACGCAACAGGACGAGGATCACGAGCAAGATGCCGACCAATGACATCCCACACATGTTCAATTGGCGACATATCCGGGGAACACGTAGGCCAAGGAAGAAGCTGTACCTGCTGCGCTGCAAAGAAGGATTTAACAATCCGAGCAGTATGAGGGCGGGCATTGTCCTGTTGAAATACAGCGCCTCCTGGCAAGCTTTTGAAGGAAGGGAACAGCTTCGGGCTGTAGAACTTCAAGGATATACCGGTTGCTGTTCAGATTGCCCACAATTCGTAGCAATTGAGATCGTCTATGATATGCTATGGCGCCCCAGACTATAACTCCGGGTGTTCGTCCACTGTGGCGTTCGATAATGCACTCCGGAAGGTGGCGTTCACCGGCATAGCGTCTGACACGAATGCGGCCATCATGGTACCACAAATTAAAGCGGGATTCGTCAGAAAACACGACATGCTGCCAATCAGCACGCCAGTCTCTATGCTGATTGGCCCATTGTAGCCGCAGGCGGCGATGGTCGTGTGTTAGGGGGATCCTGTATAAAGGAGTCCGTGCGCGCAGTCCACACTGCAGCAAGACGTCTACGAATTGATGAAGCACACAATGAAACACCTGTAGCTATTGACCACAGTGCTGCCAATTGTCTAGAGGAAGCTGTACGGTCCGTCCGCGCCATGCGGACCAGGTGTCTATCATCGCGAGCTGACGTCACATTTCGGGGTCCACTCCCGGATTTCCGAGTTGTCCGACACTCGTCCGTCCACTGCTTCCAAACGCGCATCACTGTGCTGCTGTTACGCTGCACACGAGAGGCTACTGCACGATACGACAATCCAGCTTCACGAAGGCCGATGATTCTCCCTCGTTCAAACTCTGTAAGTTGTTCAAATCTCGCTCTCTTTCGTCGACGAGGCATAAGTACAGATTGAGTTAACGTTAACGTTTACCACTAGCAGATAACCACCGATAACCATACACGCCTCGCTACAGCCGTCTATTTATTCGGATCCATCAGCCGTTCAGAGGGCGCTGCTCAGCATACGCATGCGCTACGGATTTGCAATTCTAATCATTTGCATATCATGCGCTACTTTGCATTTCCTGAAAATTTCAGCTCACTCGCGTAAGTCCTTCATGGTGTTGCAATTTACACAAACGTGAGTGTAGTATTGCAAATCAGAAATACAAAAATGATATATTACACCAGGGGTTCTCTACGATAAGGGAATTCCCCCTTGGGGGAATTTTATACTCTGGGGCGAAAACGCAGCGTTTTATTTACCTGTTAAGAATTTAGCTTAAGAACATAAAAAAATAAATAAAATAAAATAAAATAAAATTAAAAAAAAACTTTTATTCAAGTTTTGATATTTATCAACATTTTCCACACTTTTTTGTTTAATTTATAAAACACATTAAAAATAATATAAATTTAAAGAAATGTATACATATTTTTCGAGTCTGGAAATGGAGAGGAGAAAGGAATATCTAGCAATGGTGAAAGGAGAGCATGGGATAAAAAAAGGTAGACAGAACCACTGCTATAAAGTGTTAAATGTTGCTACACAATTTTTTTCTATATTCGACAAGCCCCTGAAGACAAGTCCGTGTTGGTCGTCCATCCACCCTCGACAAAGTGCAGCTGGAGGAGGAAGTCAAGCAGAATCCTCATCAAATCTGCCAGTTTGCATACAGGTTTGGAGTATCTGACGAAACCATTCGATCACATCTTACCTTGGGATGACATGGAAACTAAGCAAGTGAGTTCATGTCCTGCCCGAGAGAACCAAGGCCTAACGGTTGAACAATCTGCTTGTCGTTGCTGTGGCGATGTATTAAAGCCTCGTTCCTGGACCTAATTTTGACATGTGGACGAAAAATGGATCATGTATGATAACCGAAAGAGGAAACATCATTGGTCCACTTCTGGTTCGGTCACATTGCCTGCTAAACCGGACATTCACCAACAGAAGGTAATGCTGCATGTGACCGAACCTAGACCAGCGCTGGATACTTTCTTTTGATAGACCAGCGCTGGGATAGTCCACTATGAATATCTAGAGAGAGGAAAAACCATAACAGCCGAGATCTACTCAACACAATTGTAAAGTTTCAACTGCAATGCACCAGAAGCAGCAGCAAGCACAGGTCAACAGATGAGGAAGAAGTTTTGCATCAGCTACCCGATTCTCCAGACATCACCCTATCGAAACATTACCTGTTTTGGGCCATGTATATTGCACATGCGGGAACAGTAGTTCCGAAAACGCGATGATATCATAAAGGCTATATCACAAATTTAGACTTCAGAAAAAGAATATTCTCAAAGTAATAATAATAATAAATAAATAAATAAAAAAGATTTTCTCGAAAAGAATATTTATAAGCTTGTATATTGTTGGGAACATGTAATTGAAGGCAAAGGCGATCATTTCGAAGAATAAAATGGGTTTTTAAGATTTTTGGGGGCCATTTTTGATGAGTGACGAAAACCGCACGAACATTCTTGGTTACCTGGCATTTTTACACGTTTAAAATTATGAATTTTAAGACTTCGATCATACAATCAATAGTATGTTATAAGCCTTATAATTAGATATATAATTTTATGATTTTCATTCTGCGAACTGTTTCGATATTAGTTTTAAGATACTATGAGATGAATGAACTTTAAGGCATCATTCCCATTTGATTTATTGTTTACTGCTACTTTAGTTCTTATTTCCAGCGTTAGAATTGACATCAGCAGCTTGGTTTATATGGTTTAAAAAGGCGAGGAGAAAAAAATGGCAGGCAAAAAAGTCTGAAGTGAAATTTTTGATTAATGCCATGAGTTTATTTAATTTGATAACTTTACTGCTCATTCTTGCGCAAAGTTTGAGTTATGCTGTAAAACAAAACAATAAAAAATGAATCCGCCTTCGTTTAATCTTTATTTAATACTATTTATTTATTATTTAATCTTCGTTTCATCTTATCGCCAAGGTTCAAAATGTATATAAAAATTTAAAGTTGGATTTATTCTCTACTTTTTAATTCTCCCATTGTGATTCCCTTGCAATTCGCACTATAGCGAAATTCACGCGTTCGTTTATTCGATTCTTTAAAGAATAGAGATATTATTAGTTTTTAAAGATTTATGAACATCTGGCAGCACTGTTTTAATTAATAAACAATATCTTAATGGTCATATATTACGTACGTACGTCGATATAGTAGACAACTATCGCCATTTTTAAATAATAATAAAATCCGTGTTTTCTTACTCCACAACAATCCGTCTGCTGTATATTTTATGAGCATTATGACTACTACTTGTATTTTTTACGAGCGAAACTTAAATCATTTGTAAAATAGTACAATTTGCGTCAATAAAACTTGAGTGACAATAAAATTCTACAGTGACGTGACAAAAGTTACGTGCCTCTCAAAAAAGCATAAAACACAATCACACAAACTGTCATAAAACCTTTAAAAACTATACCTCAATTCGCAAACAAAGAGAATTCATGTTTTATTTCCTTTTATTTTATTGCTATCATATATTTATACGAAATTACTACATTCATCGCACACATATCGCCGATATATGCACAGAGAAATCAATTAAATCACTAGTCTCAAATTGACAGCCCGCGGGCCGCCTGCGGTTATGTATTTGTTGCGAATACGGTGTTGCAAAGATTTTGAGGTTTCAGTTACTTCGAGACTGAGTGTACATTATTTTCATTACCATTAAAAAGAAACCTGAATACGCACCAGAAAAATCTATAAATGAAGCTAAT